CTTCTGCACTGTGAAAATTGGGTGAGGTGAGGGTTGAGGATGGATTCTCTGGTGACTCCATTAATTCTTGAGTTGATAGTTTCAGTCTCTGTGTAGTGGAGAAGAGCAGGGGTGGGATTCTACCGGTTTGGCCCAGTTCTGCCGAGCCAGTAGCTCCAAAGATCAGCTGAGAGGGAACCGGTTCACTCCAATTATCTTCTGTTCTTCTGCTTGGCCCACTGCCTGTTCAGGCTGTAGGCTGTCTTTTATTTCCTGCTTTATCAACCTCATCTGCTTTGCATGGCACAGCTGATTGCTGCACATCAGTTATGTTACACACAGGGCTTGCAGGATATTTTTTTCAAATTCTGTGTACATGTGTACAGTGCGCATTTGGTGCACATGTGCACACTCACCAAACTAGTTTTTACACTGGTTGAATCCCACCCGTGATGAAACTTGCTGGTCAGAAGTGAACAAACCATGACACAGGGGCTCAATATGACCACCACCCAAAATTATCCATTTGTGATTCCAGAAACAAATATACTCACCAACTATAAGTGAACTGAAGATATTCCTCACCACCTCCACAAGCTGCCATTTGGTGATGACTTCACCAGTCTGAAATAAGACCACATAATGGACAACAAGACCCACCCCTGGGGCTGGTAAAATGAGCTATGAGATGTAGAATGAGGAAGAGAGGTGGGGCCCTCTGGCCCCTACTAACTCCAAGGGTTAACCCTCGCCACCATTTTATTTATGTGAAGTTGTTTAAAGTTATTCATTGGTTTGAGATAAAGTACCATTAATATGCCAAAGATACCTAGTTGTTTATCTCTACCTCAGAAACTGAAGAATCATCTTGGATGAGAAATGAAAAGTCTTCAAAGAAAAACAAGAAAGTCCAGTTGCCTCTTGAAAAAGCACCTTTGGGACTTTACCTCAGAATGAATTGGAGGTACAGAAGAAGTCTGGATTCCAATGTCTAGAAACTCAATATCTGGACTGGAAGAAACAATTGGAGATGAAATAGAGATGCTCAGAAGGGAATCTACTAAGCAACATAAACAGGAACTCCCAATGTGTCCCTATAATCCGGCTTCAGATTCTGGTGCTCACTTTCTATCTTTTGGGTCACCATTAAAGTCTTGGGGAATCATTACAATCTCCCCTGCCTCACAGACTTTGCAGCTGTGCTGATGAAGATCCAAAGCTTGGAAGAGAACTTCTTTGTCCTCCATTGTTGTTTATGTCCATAAACACATAAGCATTCACTCATTTTCCCTATCAGCATTATCTTTTCCCATCTCTTCCTTCCTATCAAACTTAATTACCATTGTGTGCCTTCCTGCCCTGTATTTTCCAACTGAAAATTGTTGGAGGCATCTGAACTAATGCAGTCTCACTGTTCTCCAACTCCAATAATTGCTGGAATGCATGCCAATAGATGAACTCTGAAGCTTTCTCCATTGTCAATCAACCACAAAGCAGAAAAGAGTCAAAAATACTGAGACTTAGTAAAGGGTTCATGGGTTACAGGGAAATAAGCCAAGGACTATATGTGGCATGTGACCTACGATTTGCAGTTGTACAATCTGTCCATATGCCTGGAAGTGAAACCACTGATGTCAATGGAATTTACTTCTGAATATGTTGGATCGTTCTGCTATTAACTAAGCAGCATGACAAATTCAAGCAAGGTTCATCCAGTGTACTAAACCAAGAACAATCAATCCCTAATTGTTAGTTTGGAGAAGAGAGTTTTGTGTCATTGATAAAAGATTACTTTCTATTCTGTTTAGAAAAAAGAAGTCCTCCTACTGAAATAGTTTATGTAGATTTTACATTTTGAAGATACTTAATATACCAGCCACATTCACTTCTTTTTATGGCTGTATCTCTTGTTTCTATCTCTCCACCATGACCACCAATAAACTGTATTTGAAACTGTCAATGTTCACTCTCTGGCAGACAGTAACAGAGACAAAATTGTCACATTTCCACGATTTAAAACATTTTACCCTGTTGTGCTATATGCACATATAAATATTCTATAATATTTATTCAGACAGTCTTGAATTCCATCACACACACACACACACAAAATGGAATTATATGATCCACTTGGGGGCATCATTTTGGAGTCCCAGTGAAATGAATGGTTATTATATTAAAGGAAAGCTGCCTGGCTAGGCACCAGTTTAATTCCTCTTCTGAATCTGTGTTGGAGCAGCTGCAGGCTGATTATTTCTGTGGCTGGGGTGGGAGGAATGAAATCAGCTGTAACATTTTGGGCATCTGTTGCTGCAAATGCCATAAATCTAATCTGATATGAGCACCTGGTAAACAAGATCCTGAAAGTAATAATAGCAATTGCATTAGGTGTCATAAAAGGTATATACAAAATGGTCAGAATGGATTACACACCCAGTTCAGGTTTTGAAGCTTTGCAGTGAGTGATATGAAATGAAAGGTTCAGAATCACAGTTCAGACTCTGCAGTACACATGTTCTGTTCTGATGGTGTCAAATCACAACAGCCTTACAGTAAATGTCTCTGGAATTGAATGAAAGCTATTAAAGCCATCTTCACCTGAATCTTCAATAAATCACTAGAGATGTGCTATGTTCCTTCTTGCTTCAAATGCTCTACTATCATCCCAGTGCCAAAGAAGCCCTCCATCAAGGAACTGAATGATTACAGACCAGTTGCTCTAACATCTGTATTTATGAAAATACAGGTTCTGTCCCACCTAAAAACCATCACGGATCCACTATTAGATCCCATGCAGTTTGCATACCAAGCAAATAGATCGACAGATGATGCTGTTAATATGGCTCTGCACTACATCCTACAACACCTTGAATCTCCAAATACCTACGCAAGGGTCCTCTTTGTAGACTTCAGTTCAGCATTCAATACTATCATTTGAGACATTCTTCTAACTAAACTAAACCAGCTAGCAATACCTGAACACACTTGTAAGTGGATCATAAGCTTCCTAACAGATAGGAAGCAGCAGGCGAAGCTAGGCAGAATCACATCTTATACCTGTACAATTAGCACAGTCCCTCCCCCCGCCCCAGGCTTTGTGCTTTCTCCATTTCTCTTTTTCCTATATACCAATGACTGCATCTCAAATGATCCATCTGTTAAAATACTGAAGTTTGTAGATGATACAACAGTAATTGGTCTCATCTGAGACAACAACAAATCCTCATACAGACAGGAGGTTGTATAACTTGCCTTGTGGTGTGAACAATCTGGAACTGAACACACTCAAAACCGTAGAAATGGTGGAAGTCTTTAGAAGAAACCCTCCCATACTACCACCTCTTACAATACTGGACAACACAATATTAACAGTAGAGACCTTCAGATTTCTAGGTTCTATCATCACAAGACCTAAAATGGACACCTAACATCAAAAAAGCACAATAAAGAATGTTTTTTCTGCGCCAACTCAGAAAGCTCAAACTGCCCAAGGAGCTACTGATACAGTTCTACAGAGGAATTATTGAGTCTATCATCTGCACCTCTATAACTGTCTGGTTTGGTTGTGCAACCCAACAAGACAGGTACAGACTCCAGAGAGTAATTAGGACTGCAGAAAAAACAATTACTACCAACCTGCCTTCAATCAAGGTCCTGTATACTGCACGAGTCAAAAAGAGGGCTGTGAAAATATTTACAGACACCTCACATCCCAGACATAAACTGTTTCAACTCCTTCCCTCAAAACAACGCTATAAAGCACTGCACACCAGAACAACTAGAGATACAAGACATTTTTTCCTGAATGCCATCCCTCTGCTAAACAAATAGTTCCCTCAACACTGTCCAACTATTTACAAAATCTGTATTACTATTACTATTAATGTTCTCATCACTCTTTATCGCCCATCCCCTCCCACTTGTGACTGTATGACTATAATTTTGTCACTTGTATCCTTACTATTTATATTGGCTGTTCCTAGTATGATTTGTTTGCTTATTGTACCCTAAGATTATTATTAAGTGTGGTAATGATGATTTTTGACTCTTGACAAATGTATCTTTTCTTTTATGTACACTGAAAACATTTGCACCAAGACAAATTCCTTGTGTGTCAATTCACACTTGGCCAATAAAGAATTCTATCTGTCTGTCTGTCATTCTGTCTGTCATTCTGTCTGTCATTCTGCCTGCCTGCCTGCCTGCCTACCTACCTACCTACCTACCTATCTATCTATCCATCATCTATCTATCTATCTATCTATCTATCTATCTATCTATCTATCTATCTAAAGTAAAAAGTGGGTGTCAAGTATTCCAAGATATATGGTAAAGCAAAACCAAAATATAGGTTGTAAACAAATTTTTTGTAAGCCATCCAGAGTCACTGAGAATGAGTGGGCACCATACAAATTTTCTTAAATAAACAGGAATAAAAAGTGCTACCATATGTATAATATTAGTAAGTAGAGAGGGCGTTGGTACTTACCTGATACGCCCATTCTCTCTGAGCTATGAAGGGCATCCAGAAGTGGGAGGTGCTTCAGTCTCTTCTGGAAAGGCTGGATTTAAAATTCTGGGACACTCCTCCTCCTCCACAGGACACCTCCCCAGCATCCCCCAGTTTTGCGAAGACTGAGTGCCAAAGTCTGGAACTCATCAACTAATCTAGATCCCTGACCAGAACAGAACCCCACCAGACAGAAAGAAATGGGTGGGGCTGGATGCTCTTCACAGCTTAGAGAATGGACATATCAGGTAAATACCAACACCCTTTCTCCCATGAGCTGTTCAGAGCATCCAGAAATGTAACATACCAAAGCTTGGCCTGTCCTTAGGGAGGGACTCCGTCTGGATCGAAATCCACTCCTAAACTCTGTGGACCATCTGCAGGACTCTTCTGCCAAATGAAGCACCTGCTGAGGCATAGACATCAATTTTATAATTTCTGAGAAAGGGCGATGGTGAAGCCCAAGTTGCTGCTCTGCAAATTTCATCTCTGGAAGTCAATGCCATTGATGCTCCAGTCTATGAGATGGTTTTGGACAAAAATTTGGAAGTACCAACTCCTGCGCTCTGTAGAAGACTGAATTTACTGTAGGGGTGAATGATGGATCCAATCTGAGAACCACTCTGTCCACATGAAACATGCATTCTCATCGACAATGCTGCCAATTCAGAAATCCTCTTTGCTGACGTGATCGCAATTAAGAAGACCACCTTATATGTCAGGAATTAGAGACTAGCGGTTCTTAAAGGCTTGA